GACGTGTGGTAGTGATATGCCAAACATTTCTGCATGTATCGAGGACAAGACGTCTCCAACAATCCACCGCAGAAGCAAATAAACTGAGCTAGTAGCAAGAGGATGCCCAAAGCCAAAACAGTAATGAGGAAAAATCTACCTTGCAGATGGTGCAGAATGTTACAATACTGTAACACCTACGCGTCTAACTCAACACTCGCAGCGATTGGTCAAAAATCCACGCGGACAAATTTGTTTTCTCCTCTCGCAGTGTTCGCTAAAGTAACTCTGCTTTTCGAGTTGCTGAGCAAATTGCCCTCAAACAGAGAAACTGACATTTAAGGTGGTAGTGTTTTTTTTTTTAAAGCCGGATCTAATCATACATTGGTTCGCACTGTTAGAGTGTGGTACTGACAGAAAGATAAGCGTCTTATCTTCCACTCAAAGCAATTTGCTTCTCTGTAGGAATACCAGCAGTGACTGAGCTCGAGCTGTGACCCTTGCCTAGTTACCTTTCCAAATTTGTATTCTTGCCAAAGCCATTATGCTTTTGCTGTGCATGCTATTATGTTAGGATGCTGCAGACATTTCAAACAGCTCGATAATTTAAAGACCTTTTTTTTTTTTTAGATGCGAGTGTTATCTCTCAGGTAAAACTGCAGAAATGTTTTCACCGCTGCCTTGTGACATAGAAAATGTTTTTTGTTCGAGGTAGACTTGGATAAAAGCTTGATTGACAAATACAATCTGTTTTCTGGCTTCCTCAAGGGAAGCTTACGAACTGTTAATTGAATGGGTTCGATTTTTGAACACTATTTTCTTGCCTGGTTTTTAAAAACCTCTGCTTTGTGCAGAAGTACATCAAGGAGAAGTCATGGAGGAGTATTTAAACAACTATTTAAAATGTATACATGCTGTTCTCACCTAGAAAGATTGTAACTGTTCTTTGACCAATCATCATCATGTACTGGCTTTATACTGTTAAGTATGTGAAGTTGTACATCTCAAGTTAGGCTTTATTCTGGAGCTTCTGGGTGCATACACACTGTGTCTGTGTTTGCATTTGCATGTGTAGTGATTAGAGAGAGAGGCAAGCAAAGTGGTGCCAGTTTTTTTTTCTCCCCCAACTGCTGTGCTTACATTAGCATAGATCATGCAGCAATCCATAATACATGGCTCGTTAACAAGGTTGGTATTTTTGATCCATAATCAAGGACTATATTTTCAAACAGTTTCCAGAGTTAAACATATGATTGCTGCAGGCTGCTTTCCCCCTCTGCCACTCCCAGGCCACATCATTGTACAATATGGGAGCTATCGATTGGCTCTGCCATTTGGCCATCGATTGTAGTGGACGCCATTATGTCAGCGAGATTATAGCCCTTCGAAGCGCAGGGATTCTGAAGTGGAAAACCAGTGACTGAGAACCCGAGGAGATGAGCTGAGTGCTCACTGCATCAGGTACACGAGCAGCTGTGTTTCAGCTAATGACATAGAGCACATGCACAGCACAGAAGCATACAGCTTAGCGTAGCATGGCACAACCTTGCCTGGAGTAGAGCCTAGCACAGCAGAGACAGAGCACTCTCGTTTCTCTCATTTCTATCTGTGCCAAAAGGGAGCTATAGTAACACACAGGGGAGTGAAAAATCACATTGACTATTCCGGACACACAGGTTTTTTCTTTTATTGATGCGGCTCATTGCGGCCCAATATTTTCTATGACAGCCGTTGCCTCCCAGATTGTCTTTGGTTGATCATTGAAATTGACCACAATTCACTATGCAGTGGGATGAGGGGTGGGGGGGGGGGGGGGGTCAGAGGCCTGGGATGATTGGGAAAGGGGGGTTGCGGAGTGAGGAGGGTGAGTAGGCGTTCGCTGCCTCGGCCCAGCTCACACTGGCTTTCAGACCAGCCCATCATGTATTTATAGCAATATTGAATTTAATTGCGTTTCTAGCATGGGGCCTGGATTTTTAAGATACCCATAAATGGCAGAACATGAAACACTGTGCCATGAACATGTAAAGTGCACCCTCATGAAAAGCAAGTCTGGAATGTGTGTAGTGTAAAAATCTAAAGCAGAGCTCAACCTGCTGTGTCCTGGATGCCAATGAGGGCTTGTAACCGCCGACCCCGAGGTTGTATGCTGTGCCATGCTTTTCAATGTGGCACAGTTCAACAGTGCACAAGTTAGGAGATAACCCTCTGGGTGGCAAATGGCTTTTTTTTTTTTATGGTATGAGAAGTGACTCCAGATAAATGAGATGAATGCAGTGTCTTACCCTGGGCGTTTCATTTGTAACAAAGAGAGAGAGAGGCAAAAGGCAATTGTGTGGCCTGCCCTCTGTGGGGTCACTTTTCAAATTCAAATCCACAGTCTGTTTATTGGACAATAAATTGAGCATGGAAGATTCATTTGCATTTAGTTCATCATCCCCATGATATAGAGCAGCAATTTCTATAGCGTCCAGAGCTTAATAACTCAGAGGCGAAACTGGCGTATTAAAAAGTGCTTCCTTTCTTCTGGGGACACTGGAGTCAAGCCCTGTGGCAACATCTCCGCTGATTCACACGTCTCGCTTCCTCCCGCCTAAATACTTGTCACTCACAGCCTGAGCCGACATATCAGACACAGTTAACGCCATGCTGAGAGTTATCACACATTCAGTGTAATCAAAAATCCTAATGAACATCATTAAAATCGAGGCTTTAAAAGCCGAGGCTTACATCTCTGTGGGTTTACACAGTCAGCGTGTGTGTGTGTGTGTGAGACTGAGTGTGTATTAAGGGCTATCAGAGCCTGTTAATGCGCCACAGGCAAAAAGCATGGGGGTCACCTCTTATTCAAAGCAGGCCTGACTCTGGCGTTTTTTTCTGCCTTTACATTCTGAGAGTGATTTTTCTTCGTGCAAAAGAGCTGCAGCGGACAGTTCAAGGGATGCATGGAGCGAGCGAGGAAACAGAAGCTGCAGGGCACATCAATCGTCCCGTCCGGTGACCAAAAGGTCACATGTTTAATCCCAGCAACGGCTCATGTGCAGCTCGGATTAAAAGGGTGTCGAATAGATAAATTCTTGAACATGACAGTATTTTGCCAACACAGGGTTATGACTGATGCGCCTTATTATTATTTTCATTATCGACTAATATGCTGATTATTTTCTTGATTAATCGATTATGTATGTGTTTAATATCAGAAAATTATAAAAAATGCCTTTTACAATTTCTAGTCCAGCAACGATCACATGATACAAAGGCAGCAAATATTTAGAGTTCATAACATGGAGCTAAAGCATTTGTGCTTGAAAAATTACTCAATGATTCAATAGTTGCCTATTAATTTTCTAAGGAACGATTAACTGACTAATCACCTGAGCTCTCCTTATGACTGATGACTGCCAAGATGGTCAATCAAATATCTTGTCAAATACCTATTTGTAACACCCATGCTTCCATACATTATACTGGATAAACCTACAGGATCATCTTTTGGACTCACTTGGTTAAACGCATGGCAGGTGCCGCAAAAAGTCATAAAGAGGATCCATGCAGCAGCCATGTTTCCTGTTGAAGTGCCTTTGAGCAAAAACACTTAACCGTGCAGGCTATACCCACTCACAGGAAATCAAGCTGGATTAATAGCAAAAAAAATCGATGCAATGTAAATGTGTAGGTTAAAGGGGAGGAGCGCCTGTCTCGAGCTCATTATCAGACATTCAGCCTGAAATACTGGTGTGGTGAGGAAGCACGCGGGGGTCGTGAGGGTGCTATATTTTCTTAGACTCCGAGCTGCTGCCTGCGCTGGGGGCGGTGTGATCGTGTGTGTGTCTGTGTGTGTGTGTGTGTGGTGTGGGCCTCAGGACATGGATGGGCTGCTTTTTCCGCGCAGACTGGAGGCACGAGCCGCTGCTGCCTGGGCACGCGCTGACTCCTCCGAAATAAACAGCTGCTTTAAATAAAACTGACGAGAGTGAACGGAAGCTGGCTTTATAGGCTAGACAACTAATGATGATGATAATAGCATTAATCATAATGTTAAGCGATTACTTTAGCTCCTTTGCCACGTCAAGCTACGTGAAATAGAAGGTGACAAAATGCCAACATGTAGTGGTTTAACACGGAGATGAGCGGCGGGAAGAGTCACAAACTAGACCGTTAAGTGGCAGCATTGATGACATGTTTCCTTTAAACTTACAGGCTAAGAAAGGCTGAATTGGTTTATTTTTCGGGGAATTCATCCTACACTTATTCCCATTTGTAAGGTCTACCTTGTAGATCTATCCTGCCTCGCTCCAAAGCAGCGTCGAGACAAGTCGCAGCACGTTCAACAAATTGTGGAAGAGTTTTTTTCTTAGCCCGCTGTTTCCGACTAACATGAAGACGAAGGGGGTACAAAAGCTGCTGTTAAACTCAGCTGGCTTACCTCCGGTGGACAGTTAGTCGCTGTCCCTGGTGCTGAAACGCTTAGTCTCCGTCCAGGGTGCTGATTATCATTGCTGGCTCCGGAGACGCTTTGTAAATCCGCTGCGAAGAGGCGTCGAAAATGCCGGTCCAAAAAACTGCTGCTTCCGCCGTGAAGTTACGTTAAAGAAAATCCCATACCCAGCCGCGTGTCCGACACAACACAGACAGCGCGAGATATAGAGCGACCGTGGCTCAAAATTATGACTTCAAATGTAAACGGTGGATCTTAAAAGGGCAGCTCGCTGGCTGAGCCGCTTTGGCAAGTGTTACTGCTGAGGCTTCTTCGCTAGTTGCTCCGGATCTCTCTCTCTCTCTCTCTCTCTCTCTCTCTCTCTCTCTCTCTCTCTCCCATATTCTCCTGGCTCTATCAATCACTATTCAATTCAAATATATTGGAGTGACAAGAGGGAAACCAATAGCCCCCAGTATCCTGTAAGCTACAATAGACATGAGCAAATGACTGCCAATAGTTAAACAGAAATAATTTGGAATTAGCTTTGTTGGCCTTGATGTGATAAAGAAACATTCAATCTAAATTAATGCAATTGCACTGTGCCAAAAAAAATTTGTGTCCCTGCTGCATATACGTTATAAGATGAATGCAGATGTACATTTTCTCTCTCTCTCTCATACTGGCACAACGCC